GTTCGGGGAGGCACAGATAGATCTGTTCGCCTTCGGGACTCGTCCCACTGCGCCCAGTTTTATCCCTGACCGGGGGTACGCTCGGCTCAGATGCGCTGGCGCACAGCTGGCCACGGGGCCCACGCAAGTATGCGTTTCCCCCAGTGAGCCTCCTTGCACGGGTGTTGTGCAAGATCAAGGAGGACGAGGAGCAGGTCTTGCTGGTAGCCCCCTACTGGCCCACCAAGACGTGGTTCTCCGAACTCATGCTCCTCGCGACAGCACCTCATTGGCCTATTCCTCTGAGACAGGACCTACTCTCTCAGAGACGGGGCACTCTGTGGCACCCTCGTCCCGATCTTGGAGGCTGCACGTGTGGCTCCTGGACGGGACGAGGCAGGTTTGAGTTCGCTGCCACCTGCGGTGGTGGCAACCATCACTTCCGCAAGAGCGTCGTCCACGAGACACCTTTATGCGTTGAAGTGGAACCTCTTCGTCAATTGGTATTCTTCTCGCGGAGAAGACCCCCGGAGGTGTTCGATCGAGGTCGTGCTTTCCTTCCTGCAAGAAGGGTCGGAGCGCAGGCTGTCGCCCTCCACCCTTAAGGTTTACGTCGCGGCCATTGCCGCTTTTTATGAAGCAGTGGAAGGTAAGTCCTTAGGGAAGCACGACCTGGTCATCAGGTTCCTGAGGGAAGCGAGGAGGCTGCATCCGCCTCGTCCTCCCCTCGTACCCTCTTGGGACCTCTCGGTAGTTTTAAGTGCTCTGCAGAGGCATCCCTTTGAGCCTTTGCAATCAGTAGAGTTAAAGTTTCTGTCCATGAAGACAGCACTCCTGGTTGCATTGGCCTCCATCAAGAGGGTGGGGGACCTGCACGCATTCTCCGTTGACGAAGCGTGCCTGGAGTTCGGGCCGGCTTACTCTCACGTGATCCTGAGACCCCGGCCTGGATATGTGCCCAAGGTTCCCACCACTCCCTTCCGGGACCAGGTGGTGAACCTGCAAGTGCTGCCCCTGGAGGAGGCAGACCCAGCCTTGGCACTGCTCTGTCCGGTACGTGCTCTCCGCACCTATGTCGACAGAACGCAGTGTTTCAGGACCTCAGACCAGCTCTTTGTCTGTCATGGGGGGAGCCAGAAGGAAAAGGGCTCTCTCAAAGCAACGGCTGTCCCACTGGATAGTGGACGCCATTGCTTTGTCTTACCAGCAGCAAGGCCGTCCGTGCCCCCTTGGTGTGACAGCCCATTCCACTCGGAGTGTGGCCTCCTCTTGGGCTCTAGCGCACGGCGCCTCGCTAACAGACATCTGCAGAGCTGCAGGCTGGGCGACACCCAACACCTTCGCCAGATTCTATAATCTGCGAATTGAGCCGGTATCCTCTCACATACTCGTTTCGGCCAGTTCTGGATCCGCTCAGGTGTTTTCGCTTGCTCGCCACTCCACTCCCCGGACTGGATAAGTGCGATATTTCCTCAGCTCTTCCATTGAAGTCTTGAGTCCTCCAGCACCGACGATGCGGGCACCACTGCTGTTGCTCTGGATGCTGGCTAGGTGCCTCCATGCGTACGGTTCCCCATGGTAACCGTCTCATGTGTATTATCCACTGTAAGCCTCTCTGAGCATGTGTCTTCCCTTGGCAAGCCATCTGCCACCCCTGGAGTTAAATTTTAGTAGCCACCTGCGGTTGGTGCTCCAGTGATTCCATATGCGTTCCTATGTGGCCATATGTGTATTCGTAAGTACTCCCCTTGGTAGGCAGCTGGTAGCATGTCCCTCCTGGGATATGTTTCCCAGTGTACCTTGGTAATCCTGTGTCAAAGTGGGATCCCCGAAAAAAAAAAAAAAAAAAAGGTAAGGCAGGGGTCCAGACTTTCGCAGGGCACTGGAAGACAGCTTGAAGATGGCGTGATGGCACAGACCCCCAATCTCCGTCACTTCTGACGTAACTCGAAGTGACTACGAAAGGGAACGTCTCGGTTACGTATGTAACCCTCGTTCCCTGAGTAGGGAACGGAGACGTTACGTCTCCCTGCCACTTCTGCTGTATCGCTGGGTAGATGCCGAGTTCAGTCTTGGCTCCTCAGCGAAGACATACTGCGGTTGCGTTCACTTCCTCCTTTTATACTCACGGAGTAGGGCGGAGTACGCTATGCAAATTTCCGCAGCCCCAAGGCATTGCATGCCATTGGCTCGTTTTTAAATACTCGAAGAGGATTGGCTTTCTATGCGAAACCCCCAATCTCCGTCACTTCTGACGTAACGTCTCCGTTCCCTACTCAGGGAACGAGGGTTACATACGTAACCGAGACGTTAACTACATTAGTTAACATGTACAATATGTGAACAATACTTCTTCAGCATTTATTAATCTTAGTTAATATTAATTCCAACATTTACTAATACGTTGTTAAAATCAAAGGTTGTATTAGTTAAGTTAACATTAGTTAATGGACTGTGAACTAACATGAATGCACAATGAACAGCTGTATTTGTATTAACTAACATTAACAAAGATTAATAAACACTGTAACTAATGCATTGCTCATCGTTAGTTCATGTTAGTTAATGGATTTACTAATGTTAACTAATGAACCTTATTGTAAAGTGTTACTGAGATTTTTTTAGACAATAATCGCACAACCTATTTGATATTCTATAATTAAATACTCAGTGACTCATCCCAACCAACTATTTAAAAATGTTTAACTTGTAAGCGTCTTTTTACTTTACCATGTGAGTCGTGACTACCTTTCCATGTGACGCGAGCTAGTTGAAGAATGTGAAGAAGGAAAACAACCCAGAGATTGCGGACCCTCACAATATATTTCCGTCAGCAGTATGGCAACATTTCGGCTACACGATGGAGAACAAGGATGGCAATAGTGTAGGCTAGTCTACAATACCCACACAATTTGCCGTGAGTGTTTTAACAAGCTTCCTCAATTGACCGGCAACTCGTCTAACATGCAGATGCATATCCAACGGCACCATCCCGAAATCAATTTAGTTGGAGCACAGAAAACAACCCAAAAGCAGCAACACTGCCTATAGTTTAATAATTTGCATATTGTTTTTTGGTGTTCAGATTATACAAGTTTTTCCAAATGTTATTTAATAAAAATACCGGTATATTTTTCCTCTCAAAATCTATTTTTTCACCCCAAGCCCCGCCCCCGTGACAGAATCGCGATACGAATCGAATCGTGGGTCAAAAATCGTGATACGAATCGAATCGTGGGTTTGGTGTATCGTTACAGCCCTAATTATGACACATTGGAGATATTTTTCCAATTGTTTATCTTGAGATATGGATTAGGACAGTGTGAATTCACTTGAATTCATGTCTAGCAGACATATGCCTCAATATCTATGCAGGCCACTAGGAGAAGAGTTACTTTCACATTGAGGTTGTGGTCCTCTATGGAGATATCCCACAAATGGAATCAGAAATGAAGAATATAGCAGTATAACAATTGTCTGTTGACTGTTCTGAAAGAAGGATTTGATACATGTGTGCATAGTGTTAAAGGGAATTACATCATTTGTATTCTGTAATTTGCAATTTTAACTTTAATAAAACGTTTTCCCATCCCTTAAAGGTTCCTTTCTCAAACTGCTCTGTTGAGTGTAAGGCGGGGTTTTCAAGGCAACGTGAAGGTTTCCATAGTTGCTGTTTTATGTGTAAAAAATGCCCACGTAACAGCTATGTGGATTATTCTCGTAAGTATACTATAGGTGCCGCTCAATAAGTCCAAATCTTCTTCTGTCCAATCTATCACCACAATGCTTTTGGAATATAGGAAACGTTTTGTAGTGTAATTTGAAGACGATATTTTCCTACACCCAGTTAATATTATTATGGCTTTTGGCCAAATGGTATTACTAAACATTCATATTATTGTACTGTTTCTCAGGGGATCCCTATACCTGTTTTCCATGTGCAGAGAGTGAATGGTCTGAAGAGGGCAGCACGATATGTAAGACACGTTCTGTTGTCTATCTACAGTTCACAGAAATCTCCTCCATCGCTGTCATGATTTCTGCCACATGCCTAATTATTCTCCTTTTTGCCATATTTTGCCTTTTCACCTATAATATTAACACACCAGTGGTGAAGTCTGCTGGTGGTAACATGTGTCTTCTTATGTTGATATGTTTGATTTTGTCTTCCATTAGTGTATATTTTTTTTTTGGACAACCCACATTTGTACATTGCCTCCTGAGAAATGCCATTTTTGCATTTTTCTTCACCGTCTGTCTTTCATGTTTGACGGTCCGTTCCTTTCAAATTATTTGTGTTTTTAAAATGGCTGCTCAGTTCCCTAGGCTGCACAGCCTTTGGGTAAAGCACAATGGACAGTGGCTCTTCATTGCATTTTCTTCTGTCATTCATTTAATTTCTTGTGTGATATGGATGACTGTCTCTCCTGACAAACCCATCGCTGACTCATGGACTTTTAAAGATCAAATTATGCTCATCTGTGAAATGGGGAACACTATAACCTTTACCATAGTTTTGTTTATAAGTTGGTTTCTTGGTTTCCTGTGTCTCCTGTTTTCTTACATGGGAAGAGATCTGCCAAAAAATTACAATGAGGCCAAATCAATAACTTTCAGTCTCCTTTTGTACTATCTGAGCTGGATTGTGTACTTCACAGCATACCTCTCTGTCAAAAGCAAGTACATCATGCTTTTGAATGCAATGGCCCAGATATCTAGTATATATGGAATTCTATTCAGCTATTTCATAAAAAAATCTTTCATTATAATATTCCAACCTCAAAAGAACACTCCTGCATACTTTCAAACATCTATTCAGAATTACACCCAAACCCTTAGTAGGACTTAGACCACAATGCAAAGATGCAGATCCACAAGGGAGTTGCAGTTCCCATTAGTTGGAAGATGATTGTGTTAAGCACAATTATATTTGACAGACAAATATATTTTTTGACATTTTAAGCCTTCTCTCACTACAAACCTTGTCATCTTTGGCAATGGCACAACTGCATGTATGACATGTCAAAGACTTAAACAGCTACGATTTGACTACCATTGACTACCACAGTAGGAAAAAAGACATATGGTAGTCAATGGGGAATGAGATCTGTTTGATTAAAACATTCTTCCAAATATCTTCCTTTGTGTTCAGCAGAACAAATAACATAGAGGTTTGGAACAACATGAGGGTGAGTAAATACTGACAGAATTTTCATTTTTGGGTGAACTAACCCTTTAACACACATGGGAAAAGTAGATAAGGAAGAAACATTCTGGGGTTTATTCTGCACTTTAGCACATGTGATTTATGAAAAGAGTAATTTAAATATTTATACAGCTGTTCTTCACATGCTAGCATTTACACTGAAGTGTTAATGTAAACACAAACGCTCGCTTTTTACATGTAATAAAGAACATTTTCAAAACTTCCATAACTCTAAGCAAATCAATATAGATTTGTGAGGTTTGGATTGTCAGATTGTCAGCCTTCTTGTCCTTGATTTTCCCTAGTCTTGAGGCTGGTTCATGACAGACCCATATTTTGTGTGCAAGCACATGGCCTTGTGTTTGGGCCATGTGCTTCGTTGTCTCATTACCTTACCCCGCCCCCTCGTTATCCTTGTCTTGTCAATATTGTCTAGTCCGCTTCACCTGAGGGTTGTTCCATAAAACAAGATTAGAAAATAAGCCAGGCTTATTTTGGTTAGTCAAACTTATTGTCTGTGAATTCTGTTTCATAAAGCAAACTTAAAATAGTTTAAACTCAGTTACCCTGGAAACTTATGTTGGGAAACTAGCCTAACCTGACAAGCTAACTGTCAGGCTAAATCTGAGTTCAGGCTTAACGAGAATACAATTTATACTCACCTCCTGGTATTTGGATGTCATTTTATTTTACTTAACCACTATTAATGCAATTTTTTTCAAATAAATAAGGAAATGTACTTTATTAATAAATGTAAGAAATTATGAGGTATAAATGCACTAAGAAATGTTCAAAACTTGTGTATTTAATTGGTGAGTTTGTTTAATGAGTTTGGTAATTAATGAAGTATATAAATGGGGAGCTGAACTCGTTTCCAAACTTAACCATGGCGTGTCCTTTCATAGATGAGGTGTTGGATGAGGGAGCTATAGTCTTGCGGAGGGCATTTCAAAGACAGAGAACTTTCAGAGACAGGTCAAACCCATTGTCATTAAATGACAGCTACCTGTATGAACGATATAGGTTCTCAAGAGATGGGATTGCATATATTTGTAGATTACCAAGCCCACACATATGCAAATAATTATTATGTTTAATATGGTCTAAACCTTGACTGTGTAGTCTTTAAAATTTTCCACTGGCCCCTCAACTTTCTCCTTAGTTGAACAAACACACAAAAGTCAAAGTATTTAATGTGATTTGTCTTTATTCAGAGTGAATCTGCCTGTTAGGGGTGAAAACACACAAATAAATGTTGTGAATGATCAAAAAGATAATTTTTTTTTTCTTTTCCTTTTAAAAAAAAAAAGGTAGTTCTACTTGCATTTTTCTGTAGCTGTTGAATTTCCAGCTCCAACTTCCTCATCTTTAGTTTTTTTATACTGGATGTCGATATCAGTTGCTTCCATTTGTTTAAGGCAGTATCGTTTATACTCTCCTTTTATGTTTTCTGGGTTATGTAGCAACATTTAAGTTATTTCATTACTCTGTCATGTTGTTTTCATTTCTTAATACTCACTTTGTCACATGTGGTCCCAGACTGAGAGGGCTCTAGAACAGTGTCAGCATCCTGAAAACACATTATGATCATTTTATCACACAAGTACACTTTTTAATATTCAATACAGTATAGCATGGATGGAACCTGTGAGTACCCCCTCCTTGAAAATACAGACACAGTCTCCTCATCCTCCTCAACTGATGGGCCTTCTCCCTGTGACCATTGATTAAACTCAGTTAAAGTCATTAGCTTACCCCCAATGCTAACAAACTCAGTCTTCTTTTTGGTCGCTTCAATAAAGAAAATATTTTTTTTTTAAAAACACCCTGCATAGTTGTAACTTCAAGCTGTCATTGATTACATATACATACCATTAGATTTACTTACCATTCAGAACTATATTTTTATATTTTATTTTCACCTGCTGCCAGGTTCTTTTTCCTTCACTTAAGTTGCTGCTGTGTGAAAGCAATTAACGTTACTGTTCTTCACACACAAATTTTGCAATGTATTGTGACACACATTAAATGTTTAAGTTTTTTAAATAGTTTACACCGCTACTTACGCATTGAGACGATCAGAAATTTCCTGCCAAACTTTCTCTCTTGCTTTATTTATTGCCGCTGTATTGACTTTTTTGGTGATGACATCTTTAAATTCTTCATTATGTTTCCAATGGGCTCTATGCACGGCGGTATTTCCGGTGAAGGATTAAGGATGCTCGATAACTTCCGCCGATCGTAGAGTCCAATGCAATACCGAGAATTTATATTGAATTTTATACTCCATGGTTATAATAAAGAAACGTTACAAAACGTCACAAAAACAGATAAAACAGACACCCCTCGTTGTGTTTATGCTTCTTTTTAAAATTATATTAAATAAACATAGCTATATATAAAATTAAATCTAAACGTATGTACGTTTCGTTTCAAAAATGGGAGGACAGTAAATTTTGAAGACTCTGCCATAATCCCGTTTTCCTCGGTTCTCCTCCGCTTAAATCTCCACAACCGGAAATGGACGAGCATCCTTGCGTCAAATGCGGAACTTATGCGTGCATATAGCCCATAGCAAACGCTGTTCCGTTGCTGTGAACATCGCTGCTCTATCTTTTCCTTTTGTTGCCATGGTAGCCCACAGTAAATCGATTGACCCATGCTCGACTTTTCAGGACTTTTAAAGAATGGCGTGCACGCGCAATTATCTAGACTATTTAGACCTGTGTTGTCCTTTAAGGAATTTAGAGTCATGTGATAATGCCATTTCCTATTAAGTCACTTCCTGTTTGTCCTTCCTGGTACTGCATGGAAACAAGGAGACAGACATGGTGTGCTCTTGGTGTTAAATCCACTTGCATCCACCTTAAAGCATCATAGAGGCAATGCTGTAAGTTTGTTTATGTGATTTTAGACATATTAAAGGTCATGTATTAGTAGATATTTTGTTAAAATGATGATGTTTGAGATTGCTAAAATTATGCTGTGTACAAGCTCTCAGAGATGTTAATGGCATGTGTAGCTGCTGCTGCTACAATGAGAATTGCATTGTATATTCATTTTATTCACAATGGGATGTTACTTAAGAAATGGACACTGAATATTGCTGTATTGTTTTTTATTACAGTTTTCACCTACATGTAAATGAGGAAGTGTGACAGTAAATGATCAACCTTACTACGACTCTGTCTTCATTTGCAACGGTTTAACTTGGTGTTTAGTCAGAGTTTCAAAACCCTGCACGAGAACATTACAAAACCTGACTCAAATTAGTAAGATCATATGATCCTCAACTTACTGTTATGGAACCAATTTAAGCGCGGATGTTTAGCTCGGCTCATTCAAGTCAGGTTTTGGACTTTAATCCTCGCTTTTCTAAGCGACTTTTATGAAAGCCCCCTGTCCTCGTCATTAGTGTACCCTATTTAATCCCCTGTGCTTGCTGTCCTGCATGTTGGTTCATTGTCAAACTTTGTTTCACACATTGTGTGAGATATTCTACCTGTGAGTACCCTGTCTAAAAAGAAGTCTTGAAAACTCTGAAGAGTCTTGAATTGGCGTTAATTTCTGGTACGGCATGGTACGGCAAAACATTTCACTCTGATTCAATAAAGACTCTTTTAAGCCAAACATTATTTTTGGATTTATTACAATATAACATCAATTTAAAATGTACATAATGTCATTCATAATCTCTCTCTCTCTCTCTCTCTCTCTCTCTCTCTCTCTCTCTCTCTCTCTCTCTCTCTCTCTGTGCGCATGTGCGGGCGTTTGTTGAGCGGAGTGAGTGGTGTGGTGAGTGTGTGGTCTTTTTTTGTGCCCATTGTGGCTTTAAAAGATTTCCCCCCTCTTACTTTTTTGTGTTTTTTGTTTGTTTTGTTTGTTTATTTGTTGTGAAGTATTGAGTGCCTGTCTTATCCAGTGTGATAAGCTAAACTTGATTCACTCACGCGGCGCCACGGTGTGAAGGTGGCTGCGGGGAATGTGGAGGAGTGTAGTGTTGCGGTCGGTGATGTTGTTGGTCATGAATGTGTTTTAGCGGCGTCTAAGATGAATAACTCAATTGTACTGTTTTTGAATACAGTCGAGAAAGCGAATGAAGTTGTTGATAAGGGAATAAACATCCGTGGGTTATTTACTCCAGTACTAAATCTTTCTACTCCCGCTAAAAAGGTCACCATTTCAAATGTACCTCCCTTTATTAAAGACGAGATGTTGATGAAGGAATTGTCACGCTTTGGCAAACTGATTGCTCCCATAAAAAAGATCGCTATAGGATGTAAATCGGGGTTGGTGAAACATGTAGTGTCGTTCAGGCGTTTCACGTTTATGATTCTGAATGGAAATAGAACTGATCTTGATGTAAACTTTAAATTTAAGGTGGATGATTTTGATTACACCGTTTTTGTAACTACTGACACGATGAGGTGTTTTGGTTGCGGAAAGTCTGGTCATTTGATCCGTGCGTGCCCGGAAAACAGCGCTCAGGGCAGTGAGCAGAACGATGCTGTACAAGGTAACGCTGCGCAGAATAAAGACGGAGAAGTCGCCAGTACTTCCAACGCACCGAATTCTAGTGGCCCAAAAGTAGTGCATGTAGAAAAAAATGTTGAATCTGATAGAGAAAGTATTGAAATTGATGA